AGGCAGAATGAGGGGGGAAATTCGCCTGGGAAATCAGGAAAAGGGCCGTGAAGGCGAGCGGCGCCTGCACATGACCAGCCGCAGCCAATGACGACCGCAAATAGGTCATAAAAAGGTCTATTACCAAGTTGTAAATTTTCTTCAAACAAAAAGGAATTTACTGCAATTCCTTGCGGATTTTGCACATACAGCTCGCAAGCGCCATGTTTTTTCCCTCTCTTTCTCCCCTCCTCTCCCATATCTCTCTTTCCCTTGTCCTCCTCCGCCTCCTCTCTCTCTCTCTCTTTCTCTCTCTCCCCCCCCCCCCCCGCCCCAACCCTCACCCCCATGCTTCTGGGCTGGTTTCTCTCCTTTCCAAATCTCCTAACTCATTCTCACCTTTTCTATGAATTATTTATTTTCTTTTTTCCTAGTTGTCTCGAAACCTCTGCTCAGTTGGACACGATTAGAGGGGGAGCGGGCACGGTTAGAGGGGGGAGCGAGCGCTGTGTACCGCCTAGGCGCTTGGGGAGAAGATCCTGGCGGTTGGGCCCCCTCCAACTCTCCTCTCGGGGCGGGCCGCAGGGCTTCTCCTCCCCTCGGCTCTCAAAAAGGCATCTCCGGAAGGGCAGCCCAGCACTTTCGGTTTTTGCCCCTCTCATCTTCTGGACAGTCCATTTGCAGTGATCTTGCAGAAAAACCTGGACTCTGCCTGCCAAGAAAGCCCGCTCCACCCACTCTCCAACGTACATGGGCTCCCTCCCCTTTCTTGGAGTTTTTGTCATGGGAGGGTCTCAAAGTTCAAAGACTGGAAGTGGCTTTAGGTGTTTCAGTTATTCTCCAGAACAATATTTTGAGTTCTTGATGCCCGACCTTCTGTCTGCTTAGATACCTTCTCCCCGGGAGTCCCGAGATAGGAAAATTTACCTTTGCTTTAAATCCGTTGCTTTAAATCTCTCCTAAGTGTATAACACTCTCTTCATGGAATTAATCCCCCCCCCCAGCCCCCATGTTTGTCTACTGAAAAGACTCTCCAGGCAATGTACAAGTATAGAGAAGCTTCATTTGCTCAGAAGAACAACCCCCCATTTTCAACCTTGAAAAAAAAAGTCTCTTCAAAGGCAGGAATCAATTCCATTTGGACTTCTGATAGAAAGTGCTCCAATGAACCAAGCAGAAAGTAAACTGCCTTGGCTGGCCCCAGCATTTTCCTCCTTATTAATGCATGGGCATGACCATCCGCACTGCAGAACCTGTCTGAAAGAGGTAACCCCCTCCCCTTACTTTCAAGGACATCGTCCTTGGACTTCTAGTAATACATTTATACATTCCTGCATTCAATTTCTATGTGTAACTTATCTGCTATTAATATCCTTCACACAAATGAAGGCTACTCAAGTAGGAGGCATACACCTCTGGAATAGGTCATTTATACCTTTTGAAAAAGTTTCAGTGATCTTGGATGCTTTCAGTTAAAAGGTTTATGTTGCCATATGTCAGCAAAAGTCATTTTCTTTCTAGAAAATACTCAGTGATATCTAATTTTACTGGAAGAAACCATAGCAGTAGCCAGGGTCCCATTTCTACCCCCAGATGCCTGAGGATTCAGCCAACACCAAGGGAGCAGAAAAGACAAGCTTGAATGTGCAATTTTAACATTTATGTTGAAGATTAATAAAATATTTTTAGTTACAGAAGAAAATTGAGCATGTTGTTCAGTTCTCCCATGTCTGAATATATTATACTGGACTATATGTGTGGATGAAACATCGTGTGAATGAAAAATCTGATTTTTTTACATAGAACAGCAATTTTTTTTACATAGAACAGCAATTGTAAATTTCTCTCATTATCCTTGCGTACTCTATCCAAATAAAAGCAGAGCTTTACAACCCTCCTTTATAGCTTGGGGAAGAAGGGCTGGGCTGGGGAAAAATCCTTCGCCCTGAAAGCAGCCATGTTTGTCCTCCCCCCCCACCCCCACCCCCTTGTACAGAAGTATGAGATGTGCTGGGCTTTGTGGATCCTCACAAAATGGCTGTTCCTGAACTGACTTTCTCTAGGAACCATTGAGACCTACACCCTCTTTTGTGTGTTTCTGATTCTTGCTAACAGAGAACTTAAATCACTTCAAAGGCTTGGTTCTTTCATTCAGTGTTAACATTGGAGAGTCCTATTTTTCTCTAAACGGTTTACAGACCTCTCTAAGCAGACTCTCTAAGCAAAGCATTGCCTGCGTTTGCAAAGAGCGCTTTGAACGGTTTATGCAAATTTCTGCAGCAAAAAATGTTTGCTGCTTGTAGCAGCAATCCTTGGATGTTTACAGATTTGAGCCAATTAGAAGGGCATCTTCTGCACACCACTGCAGAGTCTAATGCATGAAACACCATGATAGAGTGTAGGGGTTCTAGCCACTAAGAAGGGTAGTGGTAAATGTTCTTGTGATATCCTGCAGCTATTTGGAGGCGAATGAGTGCCTCTTCTCTGCTACAAAAGGAAACAGAATAAAACCTCCTTTATTATCAACACATTCTGCATGTATAATCTGTATGTGTACAAATAAGCCAAATATATGCCAAAACATCAAATTTATAAATACAAGTACTTTCAAACATACCAGTTATTGCAAGTCTTTCTTTCCTGAAAATGAGCTATGATTTTACTCCAGATTGGTAGAGACCAGTAGGGCCAGAAGATGTATTTCTAGAGCAGCAGAGGAAATAAGGACATTTTTACCTCCCCTTCCTTCCTCGATAGCCGCACCCATCCATGGGCAAGGCCCCCCAGCTGTTAGTCTTACGCAAAATCAGTGGCCCCAAAAGTGATATTCAGAAAGTATTTTTGAGTGGGATATAGCCCATTTTCCCAATAGATGAATCCTTTAAATGGAGGGGGAACTGAAGTATAGCCAGCACAGTCTCTGGCCAGCTCACTCCTCCCATCTCCAGCCTGTTACCTAGCTATGCTTATAGGCACTTAATTTCCTTGCATTACACCAGCCAGCAGCAGTCTCAGGCAGTACACCGAGTAAAACATTTCCAAATCTAGCAGGCCAGTTTGCAGCTGTCTCCCCTTGTGCAAATGTTTAAGCTGCCTGGGCCACCTCTGACTTAAAATGGTCTTTCTTGATTCAGGTCAGTGAATGCCACAGTCACCATATCCTTTCTGCCCTAGGCACAAATAAAAACAGTTGGTATTTTGTCTCTGACCTGACCAATGCCAACATTTCCCTGGTTTTTGAAGCAGTAAACAGCCCACCAAAGACCGAGGAGTGACCTAGACCTAAAACTATAGGATTTCATTTTGTCTGTACAAAAAGTGAAAATCTACCTCTTTAAAACAGGTCTAGAAAAAAAATGGTGTTTCAATACCACCTGATAAAGATGTTTTCTCTTTCATAGGGGAGAAATAATCGTTTATTAGAATTCTCATTTTCGCTCCTCTCTATGCCCTCCTCTTCCCTCATAAAATGGCAGCTGCAGGAACAGCCTCCAATAGAAAATGGATATCGTGTTAATAACAGCTCCATCAGCGCAGGCTCAGTAGAATAAACCAAGTCGGTAGACTACCTGGTCTCTGGTTCATCCCCCCACGGTGTCCACAATTTGAGTCTGCTGTGAAGTTCAAAGCTTTCACAAAATCTCTGTGAGGTTATTTAGAGCAAGATGAAGCTATAATAACCTAGCCAGCCCTCTCTGGAATGAGCCACCCACACTCTTTTGCATTTATTTATTATCAAGTGATTGCATTTAACTTCTAGCACCCGTTTAAAAAAAATAATACATAGAATTTTGGTAAGATATTGTCTTGGTGTGAACCCAGTTGATTTGAGTCAGGAAAAGGGTTATTTACGGCGCTCAAAGAGACTAGCTCTAGAAAAAGATTCACGTTTTTATTAAGGAGCTAGCTATATTCTGGAGCAGTTGTTTACACTCAAAGTTTTCTGCTTTTGCTCTAAGAGCCTTTTTCAAAGCTCTGTGGAGAACAGCACAGTGGAGAACAGCAGAGGACGTACCAACCGACATCTGAGATGCGCACAGCAAGTTGGCTCAAATGGTGTGCAAATAGAGCGAAGGATATACAAATAAATATGGCACTACAAAGAAAGAAAGAAGAATCATAGCGGCACAGAAGAGGCCGCAGACTAGAGACCTAGAGATTTCAGGCAATATTTAGTGTGATTCAAAACGAAAGTAGGCTGGGAAACAAGAGGAATCCCACAAGGGACCTGCCAGAGTAAAAAGTTAATGAGTGAAAAAAATTATAATTGGCTTTTCAAGTATTCATTCACACTACATGATTAAATTGACATAATGTGTATATGGAAAAACTAATGTCCACTTTGACACTGTCTTTAAACTTGTGTCACTGGCCCAATAATTTCCTGGTTTAAAGCAGCTGGAGAGCGGGGACTACACCTTACACTCTTCAGCTAACATGTGCTTTTTGGGTATTTCACCAAAACTTCCCCGAGAAAAGAGATCTTCCCTTTACAAAATATTCTAAGAAACCTTTCAGGAGTAAACAAAGGGCACAAGAACCATTTGTTTTAAAAGCAGAAAGGAAAAAAACCCATAAATAATACATTTTAATCAAATAATATAAAGTATTCTGCAGGCATAAATTTAAAAAATTAATAGACTTCTTTTAATTTACTCACCATAAAGATTTAAAATGTTCAAGTGCACTTGTCTGATTAATAAAGCATTTTATATTCAATTATTTAGTGCTAATCATTAGGAAGTTTACGTTGTTGAGGCAAATCACCAACTCATTTCAACTGATCATTATAAAAATACAGCTACAAGGTATCAAATTACTTTCACATAGCACAGCCCAAAGGCTGCTTCTATGTAATAGTAAAAACATTAAAAAAAAATACCCCCATTCCTCTCAAAGTGAAGAAACCTCAAGAGCAGTGACAAGAAGGTAGCTTGAAATACAGGTAAAGTCCTTTCCAACAAAGAACACAGGTGGTGTCCACCAGATGTGTTGACCATGAGTTTGAACAGTCTGCGGTAGATTTTTAAAGATAGACGTTAAGTTGTTGGGCCTTCGGCTCCGGCTTCCTTCAGCTCCTGGGCTTCCTTTTTGGTTTCCCCGTCTTTGGCCTCCTGTCGGGAAACCGGGAATTTGTCTTTGTTGTTCTCCTTTTTCCACTTCATTCTCCTGTTCTGGAACCAAATTTTCACCTGTCTCTCGGTGAGGGCTAGGGCGTGGGAAACCTCGATTCTTCGCTTTCTGGTCAGATAAGGGTTAAAGAGGAATTCCTTTTCCAGCTCCAGGGTTTGGAAACGACTGTAAGTCTGTCGTCCTCTCCGTCTCCCAGGCGCTGCTAATGAAGGAAAAAAAAAGTGGAGGTGGGAAAATAAAAAGGAAAAAAGAGGGAAAGATACATTTTTAAAGATGTCATGGAGGTCTCTGGCCAGTCTGGGGGTGAGCCATACACGACTGGCTGGGGCTGGGATCTACATGGGATTAGGAGGCAAAGGGAGCAAAGGGGCTTGCAGGGATGCCATCCCCATCAGCTTTACGTGGTTTCTATTGGGGGGTGGGGGGAGTCTGCACCACCTTATGAAAACACAGCCACTGTAAGTGCACAAGGAAGAGAGGGAGCAGAAAGGCGAGTTTCAGAGCCAGAACGTGAGACGAAAGCAGATTTCTCCCCCTCTCCCCGCTTTAAAAAGAAAAAAAAATAATAATAAATAATAAAAACAACTGCATCCCAACCTTGTGGTCTCATCCAGGGAAACATTTGAGAAGGAGACGCGCTCTGATTTAAGTGGTCTGGGTCCTCGCCAACATGACCACTGGACGATTTACAGTCAGGGTAGTGTACCAGCTCGGCCTCTTGCTGGGTCGTAAAGATCGGCTGTCTCTGTAAGTTATCGTATCCGTAAAACTTCGCGGGCTCGGCGGGACAGGCCACCCCGCCGCAGGGGGGAGGCGGCGGCGGCGGGGGGGCGGCCTGGTAGGCTGCGGCCGGGCTGCCCCCGCCGGGGTGGAAGTAGTCCTGCCCCGCGCCCCGGCCGCTCCCACCACCACCACCACCACCGCAGCCTGGCCCCGCGGGCGGCGGCGAGGGGTGCGCGTGCGGGTGCGCGTGCACCTGCGGGGGCGCGTGCGGGAAGCCCGCGGCGCTGTTGCCATAGAGCTGTAGGGCCGCGGCGGCGGCCGCGGCGGCCGCGGCGTGGCGGCCGCCGACCTCGGGCGCGAAGTGACAGTCGTAGTAAGTGGGATTGATGGCCTCGCCCGCCGCCGCCGCGGCCGCCGCGGCCGCCGCCTTGTACTTGGAGTACAGCGGGTTCACGAAGTACGAGCTCATGGGGGCGGCGACCCGGGCTGGAGGCGAGGCGGCCCCGGGCGGGCGGCGAGGAGCCGGCGGGGAGCGCGCCTCACGGCGGCCGCACTGCCGCGAGGGCCTCTGGGGCGGCGGCTCGGGCCGCCCGGGCTACGCTGCTGCCGCCGCTGCCGCCCGCCCGCGTCGCTTCTGAGGGCCAGGCCAGCCGCGGGCGCTCGGCTACTGGGCACTCATGCCCCTCGCGCGCGCGCGCCCGCCGCCTCGGCCTCGCCCAGCCCCCGCGCTCCACCGCCCGCCCGGCTTCTCCCGGCGCGCGCCGGCTCGGCCGCAATTTAATCGCCGACGCCCCGGGTGACCTGCCCCGCTGCCTCCACTGTTTCCTCTTAGGCACCAGGCGGCCCGGAGCGCACCGGGACGAGGAAAAAATAAAAAAAGTGCGCCCGGCCCACGGGGACACGCTTTGGCTTCGGTTTACAAACCCCCGCTCTGGAGGGTCAAGAGAGAGGAGAAAAAGTTAAAAACAACAACAACAACAAAAAAAGCCACCCACTGCCCGCCGCCACCTCTCACCTCGCCCCCCCCGCGGCCCCCTCCCACCGCTCTCGCCGCCGCCGCCGCCGAGGCTGCCGCCCCGGTGCGCCCCGGCGAGGCATTTTCGCACCACGCCACTGCGCGGTGAGGGAGCGAGATGGGAGCGAGATAACCGCGCGGAGGGATCCGCGCGCGGAGGCGACACCGTCGCTCCCAACGGGACGCCTCACGCCTGCCGCGAGATGCCTCCGCCGGCCTTAAAGGGGGCCCATAAAGCCGCACTGCCAAGGGCTCGAGGGGCCCCCTGGGGCCGAGGGCTTGCGGGCCGCGGCTGGCGGGGCGGGGGCGCGGCAGAACCTTACACTTGGGGGAAGGCAGGGCGGCCACTCCCAGGAGGTTGTGTGTGGAGCCTTCCCCAGAACTCCGGCGTTATCCCACCGAGGTTGGTCGTGGCTTTTGCACTTAAGGACACGCGGGCTCAGCCAGCCCACGGGCAAGACGGACCAGACCGTAGCCGACCTCTCTGTGTCTTAAAACGTGACTTGGTTGAAGGCCCGGAGGGAGGGGGCTGAAACTTAGCATAATCAAAGCGAAGTTAAGCTCCTTTTATTTATTTATTTGCTTATTTATTTATTTATTTATTTTGTCAGCCTAGCGGGCCTTGTGGAAATGAGATAGACGTTTACCCTTGACGCATTGCACGCCTGGCTGAGGCCCTCAGGTTAATTGATATTTAATGGAAATCATGCCCATGAATATAGTTTCCATCATTTCACCCTTGATAGACGTCAGCATCAGGCGCGGGGGGGGGGGGGGGGAGGGAGGCCCAAGAATGCAAAGGGTGGGGGAGAACTTAGTCTTGCTGAAGGAGTAAATAGAGAGAGAGAGAGAAAAAAAAAAGTCAACTGAAACGTTCCAGGGCAGGAATGACTCGGTCTGGGCCGCCGAATGGGTCTTTCCTTGGGCAGGACACGGGGGCTCCCGGATCTCAATTCTGGCGGGGAGCGGAGCTGAGCGGACCCGAGCTGACACCGCGAATTGCCGAATGGAGCCTCGGGACAGGCGTTCGGATCACCCGGGCTGCAATCGCAGGCCGCCCCCGTCTTTCAATAAACGTTGCTGGTTCATCCACCAAGCCTGTGCAGTGACTGCTCAGGTGGGTGCCCTCTCTGAGGAGTTCCTTTTCCCTAAAGGGAAGAAGGCCTATCCTAGCTTGTGAATGGCGAGGAGGAGGAGGCGAAGACGCACTTTCCCTAAGGGCAAGTGTAAATTGTAGAAATAGTATTCATTTTAGAAGCTCAGTCTAAAGCCACCTGGTATTTCACCACCGATGTCTTCTCTTCCTCATATTAAATACCCTCTCCCCATTTTAACGTCCAGTAAATTTAAGGGTCCCTATTGAGTGCATTCTCCCTCTCCTACTGCGGTTTTCTCCTGGGCTGTTCTGGGTGAAGGAACCCTCTTTCCTGGGGCATGATCCATTGTGAGGACCCGAGGCCTACCTGTTGGGAGAACCAACTTAGCAAAGAAGCCCTTGGAGCCATAGGGGGCATGAGCGAATGGGCTTTCCACGTCAAATGCGAACAGCCCAAACTCCCAGGTGGCCCCAAGCGTGCTGTACCTGAGTGAGTTCCACTACCTTCCTTTCTCGTGGGTTGGCCTAGTGGGAGTGTGATTCTGAGACCAGCCCAGGTGGACTGATTATTGTATTTTGCAGATGGAGAAAATAAAGTGGAAGGCATAACTGGATAATAATGTCTAAGACGTGTCATTGTTTTCACAGGGAATAGTTGAAAGTGGTGAAGCCGAGAGTATATTGCCAGTGAATCTGCAGAGGAGAGAGGCATGCTTTAATTTTTTAATTAGGAAGGACTGAAGATTCTTGTGGGATTGATGAGGGTGAGATTTGTTGTTACTGTTTCCTGCTGGTTATTACCAGGTAAAACTTACTTTTGAAATCCGAAGACAAATGGACTGATTCTGACAGCTAAAGATTTGTACTTGGACTTCCTCTTGCAAAGACCCCACTGAAAGAGTAACCTTTTAAATAAAGCTTTGAAATTCTGCAGTTGTGTGATTTTTTTACTTGGCGCATGTGCATATGCTGTTTAAACCTTCCATAAATGTGTTGGTCTGGATTGGAATGAGAAAATAGATGGAACCCAGATCTTCATACAAGGCATCTTCTAGAACTGTGGGATTCCTGGGAAAGCGTGGAAGGAAGCACAAACATACAAAATACACTTCTACACATTCTGGTCTTACTAAGAAAAAAGGTTTTCTCTTGTGACTGTCTATGTCAATTCCCCACCAAAACCACCAGCACTCTGTTTATAACCTGAGTAGAAAAAGTTAATCATAACTTCCTAAACAAAGATCTATACTTTTACATGGTTCTGATTCAATAAAATGTGTTCACTTACCTATTCACGTTTTATAGTTTTAACTGTGTCATAATCCAAATTTTCTGAAATTTTTGCTTAGCTGAAAAATTATATATCAAGATGCACGTCTGGAGAATCTAGCGTTGCTCGTGGCTTCTTTTTGGTTTAATTTACCCTAATTTAGAACTGGGGAGGAACGGGAGGGGGGTTAGGGAGGGGGGGAAGTAAAGCTTTTTCATTAAAACCTTCCTCCGCTGCAACTCCAACTTTATGCGATTACAAAATGGAGCAACGGCGCTCTCTAGTGGCCAAATGCAACCTCGAACCGACCGTGTTTTACTTCCCCTTAAACCAATTCCAACCTTGTTGTTCCCTAGTTTCTCTGGGACTTGAATTGCTGACACTAATAATGCTTCATCCCTTTGATTGTCAACAAGTCAAGTGCACAAAACGAGCTCCTGAATGTCAAAGAACTTCCAGTAGCATCCTTTCCAAGCTTCCAGATATTCTTTTACCAGACACATTAGGTCCCTATTTTGTAATCACCACATTATAAAATGGGCTAAAGTTAACAAAAAAAATTACAACTTTCTAAATATTCTCTGCAACAGGCTTTTTATTCCGAGAAGGTTCAAGAAGTTTGAAAACTAACAAATTACAGACCTTAATTTAGTAACTTTTTCCTTTAAATTTGTTAACATTAAATCATGAATATTTGCTATTTTAACTGACTTTCATATGCAGCGACTCTTTGCTTCTGGTACTTTTTCTGCTTTGCATTTTGCAGTGTTTGATGGTTGTGAACATAAAATTAAAGGCTTTTCACTGGATCTCTGAGTGATTGTCTGGAGAGCCTACTGGCGGTGTTCATTGAAATTTCTACGCACAATATTTAAAATTTGTTTTAAAAGTCACAGAATGAAATGGATTGACAAAGCGTGCCATTCACATTTTAAAGTAAATATTTCTGTTTAGGTGTTATTTTTTTTCGTTTTCAAATTATTTCCCTCCAGTTCCATTACAATGAAAAATTATTAAAAATCAAGTAGATTTCATTTCCAACATTTCTTCCAACTTTGGAGCAATGAGTGAGCAACTTCAGCTCTTCCCACCGACCACACCACTGCCAGACCCTCACCTGAATAAATGACCCACAATCATTCCGTGGTTCTGGAGTAAGAGGCTGATTTTTTTTTTTTTTTAAGGAACCAGCTAGATCACTGCCATAGTCACAATGTCACCCTACCTTAGGTTACTTCTAATACATAGCCAATTTTTGAAAAGGTAGAAATACAGTCTCTTCTCTCCAGCTTTTTTTTTAAAAATAATTTTGTAGGTGCTCACACCTCTCTCAGGGATTCTCAAGAGCCAGACTTCTTAGACCAACGCAGTTTTGTTTATATTTTATTGTCCAAAATTTAAGACCGAGTTTTGTCTGCATTTTTTCCTTTACTTCCACAAACACAAACATCAAAATGAGATGGTTTCAAAGTGAAGCGCCGGACCCGTTGTAAACTCATTACCTCCAGACGTCTCGCCAGCAAGATGGCTTTATGACACCTTGGCTCTTCCTGTTTTCAAAGAGCTCTAGGTATCGGGTTGGCGGCAGGGGCGGGGGACGCAGCACCTTCTGCCGGATCTGGGCCTTGGCTTTCCTTCCCAGCCCCCCTCGCTTTCTCTTCAAACCCTCCCTTTCATCAGGATCCCCCAAAACTCCGCCAGCGGGTCCTCCCCATGCCCCCCTCCTCTCTTCTGCCCAATTCCAGCAGTCGGACGCCTCCACCTCTCAGGCCTGCAAAGACTGTGCTGGGCCGAACCCTCACTTACAATGACCTTCATTTCAGCCTCTGAGTGCGGGCCCCAGAGGGACTAGCTGGGGGCTAAGCACACCAGAAGCCTGTGGGGGAGGGGCACGGAGTTGGGGGTGGTTGGGAGGAGGGCCTTGACCATTTTCATATGTTAAGGTCACTTTGGGGGCTCCTGCGGGGAGGAGGGGGGACCATAGTCTAACCGGTTCAGCCTTCCCGGAGCCAGAGCCAGAGCCAGAGCCCCGGCTGGAGTTGCTCTGAGGGTTGCTCTTGTTTGGAGAAGGGGGTCAAGGGCTGGGATTCCAAGAACAGAAGGACAGGGGTGGGGTATCACTGTGTGTCAGGGACCCAGTAAGAGAATACCAAGCTTCGAGGGTCCCCAGAATTCCCCGGTACTGCTGCGCGCATGACGCGCCTGACGCTGGGCTCCTGGGGCCCAGACTTCACCGAAGAGGTGCTGGGACCAACATAGGGGGAGGTGGGCAGCCAGGTCCCCCCACCCCCCCCCCCCGCCGGGAACTGCTCTAGACTGGTGGGGGGGCAGTCCCACAAAGGGCGCATCAGAGAGCCCTCTGGGATGGGGGGCCCCTGAATTGGTAGCAGGGTTGCTGGGTCTCCCTTCCAGGGATGGGTGGAAGATCCCGAGGGTGATGCCCCGCAGCGAGACGGAGAAAGCAGGCAAGCGGGTGGGGCAGCGCGCAGCTCCATTCGATCAGGTCAGCGTTTATTGGGAGAAACGATAACATTTACAACTGATCCTCCAGCAGCACCCGCGCAGCCCCACTTGCTGAGGTGCACGGGGAGACCCTCCAGCGCCGAGATCGAGCCCGGACCCGCCCGCCGCCCGGCGCCTCGCTAGGCCGCATCCCAGTCCCGGCGGGCCCGCGGGTTCCCTGAGCAAAGGGGACTTTGTAACCGGTGGGCAACCCGGCCGCATTCGGCCGGGTGGCCTGCGCTGTCTCCGCTGTGCCTTCATTTTTCGAATTGGGCCCTCCTGGCCCTGGCTTGAGCAGCTTTGGGGGGTGGAGGCTACACTACAGCACTTTCCAGACACGGTGCAGGGAGAAGAGGGGGGGACATTTACACAGAAGCGGGTCCTCAAACCAGCGTGCACGCACAAAACTGGGTATTTCCTTGGGATCCAAACCAGGCGGGGAAGGGAGGGACAGAGAGAAGAAGCAGGACAGGGCAAAACCCCAAAGCCACTTGGTTCCTCCAATACATTAGCGAGCAAACACAAAGTCCCCCAGAAACCTCACGGGGACCAACCACACAGTCACTTCTACCTAGAAAGGTCGGGGGGATGTCCGAAAGGTGGCGAGTTTCTGGAAATACAAGCACCCACAAAGAACCCCAGGGCCCTGGCGGAGCCGAGAGCTCCCGCCGCGCGCTGCGCCAGCGCTTCAGTCTCCTTTGGGGCATTTCTCCTTGCTCATCTTCTTCATTTTCATCCTGCGATTCTGGAACCAGATTTTGACCTGTCTCTCTGTGAGATTCAGAATCCGGGCCACCTCGTAGCGCCGATCCCGGGTGAGGTACATGTTGAAGAGGAACTCCTTCTCCAGCTCCAGCGTCTGGTATTTGGTGTAGGGACAGCGCTTTTTCCGCGTGGAACGAGCGTGGATCCAGTTCGCTGCGGGGTTGTCTAGGAAGAGGAGGGTTTGGGGAAGGGGAGCGAGGAGCGGAGAGGAGGCAGGGGGAGACGACAGGGTGGGGGGAGAGAGGTCGTTAAATTCATTTCACCGGGGATGGCCGCTTTTTCACAACTTGGGGGGAATTGTCATCAAAAGCCTCCATGCCCGCGCAGTTTACCGGACGAACCGCGCGCCCGGGGTAGGTGGTTATGGGAAGCTTTTTTATGGATGCGTGTTGCTCGCCCCGGCTAGGGTAGGCGTCTAGACGTTTTTATAGGTTAGTAAAACTATCAGTTTTGCACATTCGAGCCTTCCAGGTTTCAGCAATAAATCAGGGGGCAATTTCTTTTGCACTTACTTGGGTCAAGTTGCTGCGGCGGCGGCTGTGGCTGCGGCTGCTGCTTCTCCTCCTCCTTCAGCGGGCAACCCGGGCTCGGGTGGTCGCTGCCCGCCGAGGGCTCCGACGAACCGCCGGCCCCGGCCCCGGCCCCGGCTCCCCCCGCCGGCGCTGCTGCCTTGTCCCGGAGGAACGAGTTGCACGCGAACTCGGGGCCGCCGCTCCCCTGGGAGTCGCGGGCCGCGGAACACTCAGTCCGTTTGGAGGAGGAAGACGAGGAAGTGGAGGAGGTGGAGGTGGCGGCGGCGGCGGCGGCGGCGGCAGCGGCGGCGGCGGGAGCCGGGGCCGCTCCGGTCTCAGGCTTAATCCCGTAGTGGCGCCCGTTCGGTGCGCCTCCGGGGCCGGGGCTGGGACCGGGGCCCGGGCCCCCGCCGCCCCCGCCGCTCCCGCCGCCGCCGCCGCCGCCGCCCGCGCCGCCCGGGAAGCCGGGCAGAGGCTCCATCCAGGAGCGCATGTAGCGGCCCGGCTCGGAGGCGGCGGCGGCCAGGGGCGGCGGGGGCACATACGGGTGGTAGAGGCTGCTCATGGCCGCCGCCGGGGGCTGGGCGGGCACGGTGGACCAAGAGGCGGAGAACACGGCCGATTTGGGGGCAAAACTACACGAGGCAAACTCGGCGGCGGCGGCGGCCGGGCTGTCGGCCACACCTGCGGGCCTGCCCTGCGCCGCGGGCCCCGGCGGGCCGAAGCGCGCCGCGAACACCTCGTCGCCCTCATGGCCTATGAGCGAGTCCACGTAGTAGTTGCTGAGGGTGCCACTGGAGGACATTTTGAGGCCCCGTGCGCTCCCACCCAAGGTTACACTGCCCGCCGCCGCGCCGCTCCCCGCCGGCGCCCGAGCCGCCGACTAGTTCGCAGGCTGCAGCCTCCACCATTGGTCGCGCGGCCCACGTGATCATATTTACCAATACCCGGAGTAAATCAGTCCGCTAAACTGGGGGCTGCTGAGATTTAAAAAAAAAAAATCATCATCAACATAAGCGTGGCAATTAGAGCCTTCGGGCCCGGCCCGTGCGCCTGACTCCGCCGACCCGGAGGCGGCGGCGGCGGCGGTGGCGGAGGGGACCACGCGCCCAAGTGCGGCCTCTGGAGGCGCTGGGGACTATTTGTTCGCCGCCAAGGGCCGCCCTGGGTCGTTCGGTCGGGCCCCCCGGGGCTGCGGCCCCCCAGGCTTAGGCTTTGGGTTCGGCGCCGGCGCGCCCCGAGCCGTCCCGAGCGCTGGCCAGAGTCCCCCGAGCAGCCGGCTGGGCGCGCGGGGCCGGGCTGGGCCCGAGGCCGGTCGGCCTTAGGAGGCGGCCCCCTGGCGCCCGAGGGGAGCGCTTCTGCGGGTGCCCTGCGCCCGACCCAAACCCACCCCGCCCTCGCGTCCCCCCACACACGCGCTCGCACAGCTTGTCGTGTTGTTTAAAACAGGTGGAAGACCTCTGTAATGATATTATGCCTTTCAATAAAAATTTTATGAGGTGTATTTGATTATAGATTAATGTGTCCCTAATAAAACGGACGGATGGAGCAGCTCGGAGGGCCCCCTCCTCCCCTTGCCACACTCACACCCGCCCGCACAGCCACACAGCCCCGACGTGAGGCTGAGAGCGCGCAGCCACGGACCGCGGGGTGTGCGGCGGGCACCGGTCCTGCGCGCTGGGCGCGGTGGAGGCCCCAGGGGGCTTCTGACCACCCTCCGAAGGGCCCGGCGGGAGGGCGAGTCAGCACCACCCGGAGCGGCCTGGGTGCCTCATCTTTTCCGGCTTTGCTGGAAGGCCCTGAAAGAGAACACTCAAGAGGGTAGAACCCCCGTGCCAGGGCCGACTCGCGGCCGTCAGCCTTCCCGGTCCGGCCGCAGCTTCCCGGGCAGGGCGGCTCCGCGTGATTCCCATTTAGTGTCCCGCAAGTGGACTCCAGAGACAGCCTAGGAAATGGTGGGATTCTTGGGCCCTTTCTTCCGGATTTTTTTTTCTTGCCTCCGGGGTTAAGGCCAGGCAGCCTTGAATCTGAGGCAAATGCCCATTGTCACTCCCAAATCCATGGTACAAAGCCTGGGAAGCCTGGCTGGAAGCGAGACAGACAAAGGCTGCGGCGCGCAACGGGCCAAAGGATCTAGTTAGTACCGCACTCTAGCAGTTGCCTCGCGCTGCCTTCAAGGGCTGCGGGCCCAATTCATGCCCCGCAAATCAAGTGTGGGGGTGGGGGTTGGTAAGGCTGCTTGTGGCCTGATTGATTGTTTTTGCCCAGGGTTCTCTGATTTTGTTCCAGGGGAGCTGCCTTTCCCTGTAGCATGGGTTTTCCTCAAGATATTACCCCCTTGTTAGCTGTCACTGGTGTTCCCACACGGTAGAAAAAGGGGTGAGGTGAAAATTGCCCTCCTGCTTAGGCCCAACCAGTGGAAATCTGGGGCAAATCTCCAATAGTGGTCCAGACCTAGAAAACTGGGGGAGTCCCCAGAAAGCAGCTCCCCTCAAGGTTCTATCTTGGAACGTGGGGCCATTCTTGGTTTTCAAGAGGAAGTGTAAAATTTCAGTATCAATTCTGAGTCTCCCTAAGAAAGATTCTTATGCCTAGGGCCCTCCAGCCCGTTGTGTTTAGTGGGAAGGGAAGAAAACAACTGAAAAGGACATATTTCCCGAGGCGGCTTCAAGCCATGGAAGAACCTTTAAAACCGCCATACCTTCTGGGGAAACGAATTCTCTGTCAGACCCCCGCCCCTGAAGCCTTGTCTCTCTTCTCTCATCTTGACACCCAAGTGCAGATAATCCTGCACTGTCTATACCCGTGGAAGCTGACTGGAATTTTCTGAGTCCTGGATGGAAGAAGATTGCACATTGGATTTCTTGAGGAAGTCATATTCATTCGTAAATTCTCTTTCACTCAACCTGCCTATACTTTCTTGTTCCTAAACAATGTCTCTGGCCAACATTTTGTAATCAGAGGAAAGATTAACTGGGAGGTGGGGTATCTTTTCTCCCTGCAACAAAAATTTCATGCGGGCCACTGCAAGGTTTCTGAGCACAATAAAGTCCTTCCACAAGAAAGCCAGGACAAAGTGGGATGGGAACACTCACCCATCCTTGGGTTCGCTGGAGCCTGGCTGTCTTGCTCTTGGGGTGGGGTGGGTTCGAGGGAAAGGGGAGCAGAATTGGAGGCGATGCAGTGCTAAGCTGCTGCTTGTCTTGGCTCCTGCACTGGAGGCCCGGCAGCTTCCAGGTGGGTCAGGCTGGTTTTCCACCTAGCCCCTGACGATGGTGCGACAGCTAGAAATCATCATGACCCCACTGAAAACATTAAAAAATAACATCCAAAACTAAGGAGAGGAACACACATACTTCACGGGGGAGCTTTGAGGGAAAAGCAGCAGGGCACAGGTTTACTTACCGGGTTCTGACTACAGGGAAACAAACACCCACTGCAAGTTCAATGATGGGAGATGGGGGGAGGATGTCCCTTCTTTCCAACTATGAAAGTGGCGCACCCAGGCTGCCTTCTCACTCATCCCACCACTGTCAAATTTTAGCTACCAGAGGCCTCACCCAGTTTTCCTCTCCCATCTTCCGTCCCAGGCTTTCTCTCATCCTCCACCTTCCCAACTTCCCCAAGCAAGCAATTTAAAAGGAAGATAATTTTACCAAATATTTGCATTCCAGATTCATTTTGTTTTTCCCTTTCAGAAAGCAGAGGGAACGAACTCATTTCCAGAGTTTATTGCATTATACATGCGACCAGTACATGCAGAGAAAGGACAGGTTGCCGTTGCAATTCTACCAAACCACAGATGCACCACGAGGCAAAGGCTACAAGGCATAAGTAGTCAAGATTCCATCTCACCAAGGACAATTGCTAAATTCATTTGCAAAAAGATACATTATAATGTGCTTTGTTCAGGTCCCCCTCCCCCCAAAGCTTGTGGGTTTTCTTAGAAACTTTTAAATATATATGTAATTTAAGTACTTTTAAGTACTGGATGTACTCAAAGCTCCATGAACTCATGGACTAACCACACACGCACAGACCTTTTGTGTTAGGAAAAAACATGAAAAAGTCACATTGCTGGATGGAAGAATGGATAGATGGATGCTCTACAGTTCCAATAAGTTAAGACCCAAATGCGAAAATGCGCAGTAATAGTTACCCTGCATTACGATGAAAAAAATAATAAATTACACGTGCTAGATTTTTAATATATATATACTCATAGGGATTACAGATCACTTGCAGCACAAACAGAATGACCCCAAAGTCACATTCTAGCAGGAAAACAAAAAACAAAAAACAAAGAGCAATGAAGGTTTTGTCGCCCGCTTTCCCAGTCCTCCATCACTCGGTCCTGGAACGCGGTGCCCGTTCCTGGGTCTTGGCCTCTGCTGGGCCTTGGACCTAAGAGAAGGTGAGGTTGGCGGTCAGTTCTCGAATCCGGTTCTCTCGGCTCATCTTCTTAAGTTTCATCCGGCGGTTTTGAAACCAAATCTTGACCTGCCTGTCGGTGAGGTTAACGCTCTTACTGATCTCTAGGCGGCGCTCGCGGGTGAGGTACATATTGAATAAGAACTCTTTTTCTAATTCCAGCGTTTGGTGCTTAGTGTAAGGGCACCTCTTCTTTCTGCCACTCTTTGCAGTGAGCCAATTGCTGGTTGGAGTATCAGACTTGATTTCCTCTAACAAAATTAAAAGGAGAAGAAGAAAAAAATCAAGAATTTTTTTTTTCTCTCAGACTGTTCAAATGTACACTTGGCAATGACCCCGCTGGCAGCCAGGCCACTTTGGGAAAATGTGGTATTAAACATCACTCACAAGAGCTAGAACCTGGAAAGGGTTTGTCACTGATGCCAGATTAGTTTAAATGCCCAAAATGACAAGATGAGTGGTAGGTATTTTCACCCTGTCTCAAGACTGACTCACTCTCTCTCTCTCTCTCTCTCTCTCTCTCTCTCTCTCTCTCTCCCCCCTTCTCTCACGCGTGCACACAAACACAGACACACACACACAAACTTTCTTACCTGTACAAAATACCAATACAACAGTAAACTTTTAAGATCTCCTCAGCAATATTCTAAGTGTTCAACTCATAACAGGCACAGTCTGGACCCGCCAACCGCCCATCCCCAATCCGTTCCTGGGCTCCCAAGTCTGCCACTTCTTCCCTATTTCTGGGCAGTCGGGGAGCCCCATCAGCAGGTTTACAGGTGCCTATTATCTTTCAAAAGATGACCTGGGAACCAAGTGCACTTTCTCCACCCTGCCTGCTCATTGTTGTAGCCCCCAGAATTTTCTCTGTGTTCTCATGCATTCAGGTCCTGCACAAAAGCCTTTCCTCAGATGTAGATTCTCCATGGTTTACCTCTGGGTCCTGGGAGAGAAGCTCAGGGCAAGGTTCCCTTTGAGAAAGCCAGAGCCTCCTGCTCTTTGCCCTAGCCCACCCAGAGGATGGCCCGGCCTGGTGAGCCAGGAAGGTTCCTTTCCTTACGCTTCTGTCCCCTTTTCAAACAGATTGCAAAGCCTGCCCCCACATTTCCCAGACAAAGCCAAGGTTACCTAAACCTCTCAACAGCAGGGAGCCCCATTCCCTGGCCTCCAGCGCCCCGGCAGACCAGCAATCTCATGCCCTCCCTTGCCACCCCCAAGCTCGCAGGATGCGGGGTACATACACTTGAACGCCAACATAGTGTCTTGGACCTCCATAAAAATCACCATTGGATGAAAAGCAATACTGGGACTGTACATCTGAGCGGGAGAGAGGAGGTTCTAGGGCCGTGTTTACAAGCCGCAGGTCTCATTTGCACTCTTTTGTTGCATTTCGGGTCTAGCTCAGGAAAAAAATAAAGCCCGCGAGCCCTTCCTCTGCCCAGGCGCCATCGGCGTGGGGCCAGCACTAGCCAGGCGGGTCAGGGCCACTGGGGATAAGCGGGGGTTCATCTCAGCATTGAGATTACCCCTGGAAAAGCCGGGAGGAACAGCACCTGCCAGGCGGGCCCCACCTCGGGCACCTAGTCGCTCCCTCTCGGCCGGGATCCCAGGCTGCACACCCCGCTGGGGTGGCAACTCTGCTCTTACCGACCTTTGCTTTCCTTCTCCTGTACTTCTGGACTCGACACGGAGACCTCGGCCAGGCAGCTCCTCTCTTCTGGAAGGCCGCCCTTGGCCTCGGGGCTCTCCACCTGGGAGACTTTGGCGGGCTCCTGGCCTCCCGCCGGCTCGTTCATCTTCTTCTCCATCTGCAGTTGGGCAGCCGAGAGCTGCGGCTTGGCCGCGCCGCGAGGGTTGAGCTGGAGCATAACTGTGGAGCTGCCTTCGGGGCTGTTATTGTACTCTTGGGTTTTCCCGGTGGCGTAGGTCTGACTCAGTCTAAAATATCCAGGGACAGGAACCTCGGGGTTCTCAACGGGACAGGACTCAGGGACCAGCCTCTGGTACGAAGGGACCTCGGCCGAAATGAGTTTGTTGCGCTTATCAGAATACATGCAGCAATTGGATTCTTCCTTAATGTTGGTGGTGAAGGAGCAAGTGGGCACTTGCTGTGTAACAGGTTGTTCTATTCGACAAGATCTGTTCGGGTCTGTCCAACTGTCTACTTGAGGTATATAAGGATGCACATTCATACCCATATTTTGGTGGTTCACTTCTCTTTTGGCCAGAGACGGGAGCAGTCCACAGGTTTGCATTCCATAGGTCCCCATGTCTGCGCTAGGTGGTGGCATGTACATGCTGGCGCTGCTCGAATAAAAACTGTCACTCCTGCAGGCACTGATCAAGGAATCTACTAAAAAAGTATTAGCAGCAGGAGAGCTGTTGGGAAAGGACATTTTGGGGAGGAATTTGAAGAAGAGAGATTGTGTCCTTTGTAGGCTGACATCTCTAGGAAAACATTCCCCGTGTAATTGTGGATGCCTCTGCCGACCACATGACAACCAAGCCAATGAGATTTGAAAATGGCCTTGAGCCGCAGCCTCCTCGCAGGTCACGTGCTGCAGAGCCCGGCCGGCCGGCGGCGTAAGCGCGGACAACAGCGACATCTACTATGCGCCCGCGATAGTGCGCTGGGACCAACGGCCCCGCGCTCCGCCGCCCGCCGGCCTCCCGGGGCTCGCGCGGCCGCCGCCCTGGTCGCCCGGCGCCGCCAGCGGAAGGCCGGGCTCGGCCTCAGGGGCGTCCGGGAAGGGGGCACCCCCGCGCGGGACTGCCGCTGCCCGCGACGACGGCACACAGAAGCACTCCCCGCACACACCCCGCAGCGCGCGCCCCGAGAGGAGCGGGGCCCGGGCGGGGGTTGGGGACCCAGGCTGGCTAAGGTGGTCCCGAGCAGCCTGGGAAGGTGAGTCGGATTCCCCCGGCTCGGAGACATCCGACCTTAGGCACCCCGAGGAAGAAACAAAAAATCCCACGGGGGGGAAAGAAAAAACAAGCAAGCAAGCAAGCAAGCAAACAAACAAACAAACAAAAAACACCGAGCGACCGAGGTATTGGGGCAGCGGTGAAGGGCCGCCAGGGCAGAGAGGCCACGCAGCCGGCCTCCCGCCAGCGCCGAGAACCAGTCGGCGGCGCGCGGTCCCCGCCTGCGGCCCGCGACCCGCGGCGCGCACCCCGGTGGGCACCCCAGTCATTTGAGATCTCGGAGGGCTGGGTCGCCGCGGGGTTTCAGCTCGGAGACAATTCTCCAGCCGCGCGCTGTCCGCGAATGCGGCCAACGGGCTCCCAGCGGGAGAACTAAATCCAGGTTTCACTCCGCACACACCCCGATAACAGAGGGCCAAGAGGAAGGCTGACCGGGAGACTGAAAAGATTTTATTTCTCGAGGAAAGAATCGCTCTCAAACTCCAGAAGTTTTCGAAAACTGACCGACTAGGCGAGGCAGGAGAGAGAGAGAGATGCAAAGGTGTCATTTGGATCTTCTACAAAGAAAAATATGTTTTCCTTTTATGGATTTTGTAAAAGCATTGGTTTCTGACAAGTGCAAGGTACAAAAGGTTGTGGAATTTATTAATACATATTAAGAAGAATCAGGGCGATCAATAAAATTCTCATCTACATTCTTGGGCTACTTGGTAATTTTCTTGCTTCTGAAGGTTTTTAAAGAGTTATACCCGCTGTTGCCACACACGGGGAGATATTTTATTAACAAATCAATCGAGACTTTGTAAAGGATAAGATTAATAGTTAAGATTTAGCATAATGGCGTTCGCTTTATGAATTATTGAAAATTATACTATTGATTTTTCCCCTCCGCTACTAACCAAGAAGGTCAATTTTTGTTTTAACACAAATCGTCAAATATTAAAAGCTATACTTTTTGTCAGAAGTTGAGTTTTATAGTTTTGGACAATTCCTAAAGTTATTTGACAAGGTTTGGCTTAGGCTTGGCGGGGGAGGGAAGGAGGAGGTGAGGGGAAATCCCAGTCTTGTGTTTCCTTTAGTGAGGGAAAGTTCTACAAAGGGTTTGGTCTGGGGTTGTGGTCAAGCTCATTAAAGAACCACCACCATCACCACCATGGAAACTCAGAGTTTTATGAGAAACTTCAACAACTTCCTCCCTAGTTCTTCGCTGGCAGGCAGAGCTCCAGCCCTGCAGAAGCCCTGGCCTCCAGCAGCAGCGGGGCGCTTTAACCTTGATTTCCAGAGACTTGCCTTGGGCGAGGGGCCCTACCAGAGTGCTGGAGCAGTCGACCAGCTGCCCTGAACCCCTTCCCTGAATCCAAGAATGGAAAAGGGCCCAGAAATTCTGTTCACAAACCAGCTTTTGCTGTAAAGGCACTGGTCTTTTTCTTCCCAGTCACCCTGTCACGGGCTGGCCTTGGATTTCAGACTCAGAGGCTGAACTTGTGAGTAAATTGCATTCCGCCTCAGCAGAACCTGTCTTTGGGGCCCTTGCTCATTAAAGCGCCTCCGCTTTTGGGGAGGACCTAGTAGCCAGCTCCCTGAATTCTTCACAAAAATCTTTGCCAACAAACCTTTTGTCTCCCCTCCACAACCCTCCCCAAAAGGAATCTCCCCTAGCCTGATGGAGACAGACACTAAACATTATTTTCGGCCTTGGGACTACTTTGCCTGTCCTTTCGAAGTACCCTCGCCCAAACAATAACCCCTTTTAAAAAACTCCGTGGTGGCAATGAGACAGACCTTTTAAACCTTTACGCAGCTGTTCAAATACAACATCATTGTCAGGTTAAAAGCCCGGCGCCTCTAACTGCTTGGCCCGCAGGATACCGCCGCATAGCGGAGGTTTAAACATTACCTTTCAGCAGGGGTGGCTGTTTCTAAGCTTGGATAAAGGGGGGATAAGAAGGCAGGCAAGGAATAGAAAGGCAGGCAACAAAAAATTTGCTGAGATCTTGTTCAAAATTAATAGTCACTGAAAGAACCCCGAAAATTGTTTTCCCCCCCAAGGTGGTGGTCATGGTTCTAGTCACCGCAAAGCATGCCCAAGAGCTAGACAAAATGCCCGCTGCACACACTCTTGCCGGGCGCCTGGGCGCCAGCCTGGCGCTCCAAAAGCGCCAGCCTTTTGCCTGTCGGCCAGGAGAGCTGCCGGAGACGGGTGCTTTAATTTTCCCTGGCCCACGCGTGCACGCGGCAAGACTGTTCAATCTAATCTGGAATTTAATGCCCATCAAATGCCCTTTCGTAATTTTTATTTATATATGTGAAGAAAACATTCAGGCCAAAACAAGTGGCTCCTCTCAGAGAGGTCAGGTCTGCGGTGAGCCACACACACCAGACAGAGGAGATCTTGGGAATCTGGGGGGCTTTCTGTTTCAGTTCCTGGTAGTGTACAGCACAAAATCACCCCGACTGGATTTTGGTTTAATACATCTTCTTTACCAGCAGGAAAAAATATGTGTGCATCAGATAGAATTTTGAATCTGTTATCATAAAATTCCACTTTTTCCTTTTTCAAATTTCTGTCTTCGGAGAGCTGTTTAAGGCCAGTGATTCATGGATTTTTTTAAAAATAAAAATCAAGCAAAACAGAAATAATACAAGACCGAGACCAGCTTATGTAGGGGGAGAAATTCGCCCTTAAGATGAAGGAAATGTAATGAAATGGCAGTGGCTTTAAAGGCCACCTTTTATTTTGCTTACGAGTATTTAATGTAGCTGTATAGTTGCTGTTTTCGATCATCTTTAGATCAGTTGAAGCAGTTACCATTAATAATAAATCAATATTGCCCCATAAACGAGATGAATACCCATATTTGTACCAAGATACCCTTCTCCTCGGCATAGTTCTTTCTCGAGAAAAATCAAAAGAGTCGCTTCAGCAAGAAATTAGCATTTGTATTTGTAATCAAGATGTGACTTACATCTAGCTCTCCTGTCTCTGGAAAGGTCTGCAACTCAGGCCTGTAATGGACCTGTATGCTCCTGAGTTTGCCTTGAATTAGAGATCTGGGTGGCCTCGGAAATGTGTCATTCTGGGGGGCAGAGCCGATAGGGACCCATCGTAAAAGCTGCTTCCCAGGGACACCCCTCCTAACTGCACAAAATCAAGGGGCAAGTGGGGGATCTGGACAAGATGCCTGTGACTTGAGGAACTGGTCTATGAGATGTGCAGAACGGCTGGCAGCCAAAGAGACATTTTCCACTGTCAACACAAAAGACTCCTATTTCCAGTATTTCCCCTACACTCAAGGATCACAAATCTCAGCGCCTTCAAATCCACAGCCACCCTCTACAGCACCATCCCCCACATATGGACTGCTCAGAACAGGCCAAGGCTGCAGTCCTCAGAACCCCTTGGCCAGGCAGTTGACCCATTTCAGACCCAGATGGGCTCCGCCGGGGAGGGAAGGAACTGCTGTGAAAGACCCCAGAATCTGCCGAGGCGGCCAGCTAAGAAGGGGACTCTCCACTTAAAGGCAGAGACATCCCCACAAAACCACCCAAAGAAGAACACAACGACATTTAGGAAGGGAAGGGAGTTTCACCCCATATGGAACAGGGCCAGGATTAGGCCCCAGGAAATGTCGCTTCACAGTAGCAAAGATGGACCCACAGTCAGACAGGCGGGAGCCTATGGTCCCCGCAGGGGAACACCCACGCCTCTGGCTGGCGCCTCTTGGAGGGGGCCTTATGATGGCCCAGCCACCACCCACCCAGCTCTCAAGGGAGTCAGGCATAGCTTTGGGTCCCTTGCCTGGGGAGAGCAGACTAAGGCTTCCGACAAGGCTGACATTCGCTCCGGAGGCTGCTTGCGCTTCACAATGAACTTCGGGGAAGAAAGGACAGCTACCCTCCCCTAGAATGGCCCCCAGAGCCCCACAGCTCTCCCTTTTGAACCTCACTTTTGGACTGCAGTCTTGGAGTCAGAGCTGGGCCCTCTGGGATGCAAGGGGCTTTTCAAAGGGGCGAGGAAGAGGAAGAGGAGGATGAAGAGGAGGAGGAGGAGGAAGAAGAGGAGAATGAAGATTGAGAAATTGCTTCCAAGAGTTCCAGGAGCATGTGCCCACATCAAAACTCCGTCATGGTGAGCAGGCAGTTGGGAAGGGCAGTATGGCCCAGGGTTCAGTCCAAAGCAAAGCCCGATTACTTCTAATGCGTAATGCTACAGCGCCCAGGAGTACAAACATTGCTCCAGACAGCCTGTGCCTTCCACCGCTCATTGGGACCTGGTGTCCCCCTGCTCATGGTCCTGTGGTACCTCCATCACCAGGCACAACGGGGGTGCAGGGCTCTCTCACCCAGAATGACCCCCTGTCATGACAAGTTTCCTTTTTTTTTTCTCTGAGACCACACTCAATTAAGTTGCAGCGCCCTGATCTGTCTTAAACAAAAGCCTTTTAATCATCCACAGGCAATCGGAGAGCACGCAAAACTGATGGATCTTTTGGAAGAGGCTGTTCTTAACTCACCCCGCTGTTCACACTCACACCAACATGAAAAATTGATTTCCTTAATTTAATTAACTTGGAATAGCCATAACCTAGTTCAAGAAGCTTATATCTGTCATTTTAAAAGCGCATCTCCATACCACCAGAATAGTACCAAGGTATTCTTTGCATCAGTTTCCTCTTAAGGA